GTACCTACAACGTTCCATAATTAACGTATCAGAAATTTAGATTGGCCACGTATTTATGACGTAATGTAAGTACGTTACATTTTCGTTATTTTGGCGAAGTCATCGTTTAGGTTGGTTCCACGTTCCTGGCACGTGATATTTAAGTCAAATGTAACGTTCTTTAAACATCTGTGCGAGTCCACACCTTCCTGTACCTACAACGTTCCATATCAACGTTACCAGAAATTTAGATTGGCCACGTATATATGACGTAATGTAAGTACGTTACATTTTCGTTATTTTGGTGACGTAATTGTTAAGGTCGCTACTACGTTCCTGACACGTGATATTTAAGTCAAATGTAACGTTCTTTAAACATCTATGCGAGTCCACACCTTCCTGTACCTACAACGTTCCATATCAACGTTACCAGAAATTTAGATTGGCCACGTATTTATGACGTAATGTAAGTACGTTACATTTTCGTTATTTTGGTGACGTAATTGTTAAGGTCGCTACTACGTTCCTGACACGTGATATTTAAGTCAAATGTAACGTTCTTTAAACATCTATGCGAGTCCACACCTTCCTGTACCTACAACGTTCCATATCAACGTTACCAGAAATTTAGATTGGCCACGTATATATGACGTAATGTAAGTACGTTACAGTTTCGTTATTTTGGCGACGTTATTGTTAAGGTCGCTACTACGTTCCTGACACGTGATATTTAAGTCAAATGTAACGTTCTTTAAACATCTGTGCGAGTCCACACCTTCCTGTACCTACAACGTTCCATATCAACGTTACCAGAAATTTAGGTTGGCCACGTATTTATGACGTAATGTAAGTACGTTACATTTTCGTTATTTTGGTGACGTAATTGTTAAGGTCGCTACTACGTTCCTGACACGTGATATTTAAGTCAAATGTAACGTTCTTTAAACATCTATGCGAGTCCACACCTTCCTGTACCTACAACGTTCCATATCAACGTTACCAGAAATTTAGATTGGCCACGTATATATGACGTAATGTAAGTACGTTACAGTTTCGTTATTTTGGCGACGTTATTGTTAAGGTCGCTACTACGTTCCTGACACGTGATATTTAAGTCAAATGTAACGTTCTTTAAACATCTGTGCGAGTCCACACCTTCCTGTACCTACAACGTTCCATATCAACGTTACCAGAAATTTAGATTGGCCACGTATTTATGACGTAATGTAAGTACGTTACATTTTCGTTATTTTGGTGACGTAATTGTTAAGGTCGCTACTACGTTCCTGACACGTGATATTTAAGTCAAATGTAACGTTCTTTAAACATCTATGCGAGTCCACACCTTCCTGTACCTACAACGTTCCATATCAACGTTACCAGAAATTTAGATTGGCCACGTATATATGACGTAATGTAAGTACGTTACAGTTTCGTTATTTTGGCGACGTTATTGTTAAGGTCGCTACTACGTTCCTGACACGTGATATTTAAGTCAAATGAAACGTTCTTTAAACATCTGTGCGAGTCCACACCTTCCTGTACCTACAACGTTCCATATCAACGTTACCAGAAATTTAGATTGGCCACGTATTTATGACGTAATGTAAGTACGTTACATTTTCGTTATTTTGGTGACGTAATTGTTAAGGTCGCTACTACGTTCCTGACACGTGATATTTAAGTCAAATGTAACGTTCTTTAAACATCTATGCGAGTCCACACCTTCCTGTACCTACAACGTTCCATATCAACGTTACCAGAAATTTAGATTGGCCACGTATATATGACGTAATGTAAGTACGTTACAGTTTCGTTATTTTGGCGACGTTATTGTTAAGGTCGCTACTACGTTCCTGACACGTGATATTTAAGTCAAATGTAACGTTCTTTAAAGGGTTCCGATTAGCATCCCGTATAAAAACAATATGGCGGCTCCAGGCGAATCAACTGGATCAGTCCATTTTTAAGAAATAAGGGGAGTTCTGTAAAATCCAGTTTATTGAAATTGTCTTTGAGATAAAGTAATCCGTTTATAATGATTTTGAAAACGTTATCCAAAGAGTGATTGCGTTCAAAGAATACATGTACAACATCCAATATAAATCCTTGTATTAGAAACCGGTTCGTCTTGCTTTGTTTCATTTGTAGGATATTTCATATGCCAATCTGTGTGCTATTACGTTATGGGGAAATTTAGATGCCAATTTTTCCTTATTATACACAAACAGAAGATCCTGAAACTTCACCCATAAATGTGGAATTGATTTGTCAAAATAAAAATCACCCTTTTATAAATGTGTGACGATCTATAATATACTTATGCTATATAACAGTTAGAGGTGTTGACACAACGATCTCGAACCTGTGAACCCTTGAGTATTATTCCGGGATCGGGCCTTTTATACTAAACGGTGAGCAACACCAGAAACGAGCGTTCGATTTGCTAAACGATATGCGTCACCCTTTAAACATCTGTGCGAGTCCACACCTTCCTGTACCTACAACGTTCCATATCAACGTTACCAGAAATTTAGATTGGCCACGTATTTATGACGTAATGTAAGTACGTTACAGTTTCGTTATTTTGGCGACGTAATTGTTAAGGTCGCTACTACGTTCCTGACACGTGATATTTAAGTCAGATGTAACGTTCTTTAAACATCTGTGCGAGTCCACACCTTCCTGTACCTACAACGTTCCATATTTAACGTTGCTACAACTTGAGACATATATTCTGACGACGTTATCACAACGTAAAATTGTTAGCTGGAAAATATATATGAATAATTTTCGCATTGAATTGTTGTCAATCAGTCAACATTACATAAAGAACTGTGTGTTTTACAGAATGTTTCCAATAATTTGTTTAAGAGAAACACATTGTTGAATTCAGTTCACCATATCGATACCAATCCTTCGTGAAAAATGAAAATTTTTCAAAAAACGATTTTTTTTGCATAGATGAATTTCTTTAAAAATGTAAATTTTTTAATTTTCTCAGGATGATATCAATATCATCCCTGTCCCAAATATGTGATTCATCACTTGCTATTATATACCTGATATTAATCTGACCATGGTATAATGTACAGATTGCAACGAAGCGACTTATATTAAATTTGCGATCACTGATTGATGTATGAGGTTTAGAATTCGAAAACTATTTTACGATTCGTATGTCACTTGAGTACAACGTATACGTTTTCGAAATACAGCTTTTATCGAACGTTTTCTAATATTAGAAATAACCATCATAACGATATTGTTGCAAGACGTGCTTCAATGTATGTGCAATCCCGCATTCTGTAGTCCCGGAAACACATGTTTGCATTTTATTCTTGATACAACTGGAAACGTAGACACGATGTCTTCGTTTCAGCATGGCCGAATCTCCGGTAGAAGAATTTGATAAGAAATTTTGTTTTCTTGATTTTGTCACCTTTCTCCATCAAAGAAGGGGGAGTTATTTGTCGAATGAATCGGGGGAGTTTTTTCATGCATTTCGCTTATATGTCTTTCATCCAAAAAAACATCAATACACTTTATTTTTGGTTTGTTTGGCCGATTTCGTCGTGCTAGTTGACAGTCGGTTGTGGTTCTGTAGTTGTTTGACAGGTTGTCTCTGGTTGTTTTGTGTTTATGTGCTATGAGGTTGTGCCAACTTATTTTATGCCAATTTGACAATGGATTGTGTTATGTAATGTTATGATTATTTACTGCTGGCTGGGAGTGGCATGTGAGGTATCGCGTATTATGTGTCGCTGACTGATTTTGTTGGTTGTCGCTTGTGTTTCGGTGGCTAGTTTGTCAAGTTGCGCTTGGTTTTGTTATGATTTGGTATTGAGTTATGTCTTATTGTTGTTAACTTGAAAATGGGTTGTGCTGTGTTAATTAGATAGTGATCAGTGATCACACAACGAACGTTTTGTATTGTATTTTTTTTTTGTTTACCACCAATGAAGGTGAGCAATACCTCTTGGGTATGTCCCGTATATATACGGTCGTAACTTACGTTGAAGGAGCCCTGTGTTCTTTTATGTGCACTTATACATAGACATACAAGTACACACCACAGCCTTTTGTACGAGTTGCGGACCACTCAGTCAAACACCCTGAAGTACTTCACGCAAACAAGCAAATTTTAGTCTTGCCTGAACCGGGGATCGAATCCGGGACCTATTGCGTAAGAGGTACCTGTGCTACCGCTGAGCTACACGGGTGGACTTATGCCACTGTAACTTCTAAAGGATCGATTATACATTTCGTAATAATGCCACTCGATTGAATAAGCAAACAGATCAACAACCAGTGTTTCCATTCTGATACTCATAGCATCTTTCTGTTTCACTTGAAACATTTCAGGGCTGAGAAGATTTGAGATGTCATGGTTTATCATGATGCAGTGTTCCCAGCTGCTTAAATATGCAAATTAACCCGTTATTTATGTCAACATTCGGGTTAGTGAAGTCTTGCAGCTACCGAGATGCACTGCAGGTACTATTCATATTTAAATGAGTTACCAACAAATTGCAATCAACCCGGCAGCCAATAGCCGATAGTTGCATTCGCGAATACAGCCTATGACACTTGGCAAAATATTGAAAATATTTGACTTCGATGTTGACATTTTTAATCAATTGTATTCAAAGGTCCATGATACTAAAACTTAGAGGTCCATGAAACCAAAACTGTGAATTTCTAACCTAGCATTGATGAAAAATGAATACTAAAAAGATTCCCCCAAACTAGGGCCGGATTATGCGCTAGCGACACGTATACGCTTTTTGAGAAACTCGTCAAGAAATGGGCTGAAATGGTGAAAACAAAATATCGTACGAGAATCTACCACCGGAAGGCAGTCCATCTTGTTACAAAGACCCGCTGTCTTTATTTCAAAATACCTCCCAGGTCCCAGTGTTACACGTAGTGCAGTTAATCATGACAAATGATACCAGTTTACTATTTTAAAAGATGATAAAAGTTGATATAAAGAAGAACTGCATGCATTGAATAAACATTAACTTTGTCTCATTGAAAGAAGCTCGTATTCAGGCGATACCACATAATCACAATATTCAGGTAATTAAAGGTAATACAATTGGAGCAGACATGGCCTTCGGAAATGTGGCGTTATTGTTGGCAGTACTAATAAGTAAGTAGAAAATGTTCCTCATCAAGGGTTGACATCCAGTCGCAAGGATGCTGTGATACTATACATGTAGTTTATAAAACGCACATATTCAAGATCTCGAAACAAATTAGTTTTTAAGAAACTTGTGTCAAGCCATGTCTTCATCCGTTATTTGCATCAAATAGGGAATTTGGATTTTCAAAATAAATGTTGTTGTTTTAATGGACCTCACAATAATTACAAATAGGTTTTTATCAAACCACCTGTGGGATTTTGTTGTTGTTGGGTTATGTTTTTGGGTTATGTTGGGGCTATGTTGTTGTTGGGTTATCAGTATAGTGATCATTATTTTCTTCGTTATCAAACCGTTCATTGGATCTTCGTCAAATTCGTCAAAACCTGTAAAAAGTGAAATATAACAATGTGGAAATAATGGGACGAAGTTCATGTTTTAATAAAATCTAGAATTTAGAAGGCATTTATTTTAGTATGTCGACCAGAGCAATATGTGACGTCATAGTGGCGGGCCATAGTGGCGGGCCAATAATGCATTAACGCCCGGCAATATTCCCCTGGAAATTAGGTTTCGTTCAGTTCTTGTTATTTCAGTCCTGGTCATTAACTGTGGTAATAATACTTATAACGTCATCTCTGCGGGCAATATAGTGAATTATTATATACCCAATATGTAACACTAATCCTGATTGGTCAATTCCTAGTCACGTGTTCCGAAATAGATTTACTATTTCCCTCGGAAAGTTATATTCCCTCAAATGTGACGTCAGCGGGAATATACATTTGAACTATTGCCCGCTGACGTCACGATTGCAACTTCTATTACCCTTGGAAACGTCTGCGCATCATCACTGCGCAGACGAAAAACAGAAAAATGGAGGATGAGCACTATGGAATTTATTTTGTATCAAAATTGGACATTACATGATGTATGGGAAAAATCGAACTATATGATGCGATACTCGAACCATATGATTCGAAACTCGCATCATACTATGCGAAATACGCATCATTATATGCGAAACTAGCATCATCGTGTGCCATTTCCAATCCATGTTATACCAACAGTTAATTTTCTTACATAACTTATTTTCATTCACACACGCACTGGTTGTATCAAGTGTCACACAAAGAGTTAGCACTAACTCAAATCACTTTCCACAAATCCAGAAATGTCACACGGATTGTGTTATAAGTTGCATAGAATACTGAAAGAATTACACATGGATCAAAGTGAATTTCGAACGAACGTGTCAATTTTACACACGCATTGAGTTCAAACTCGCATAGGATGGCTCCCGCTCGCATAGGCTGTCACAAACAAGTTGCACTTCACACAGGGTGCGAGATTTGAAGTCACGTGATATTTACATCCTGATTTCTACAATATGGCGCCCTTCGTTGAAATGTGATAAAATGTAAATTTTTAATTAAAAATATATAATAGGATACCATAGGCCCTAGGCTAGGGAGACGTACAGTGGCCATATATTGAGAAACTACAAACTATATCTTTTTATCTTTTTGCCGCGCTGATGTGTTATTTCGTTCAGTGTAAAAGTAACGCGAGATTTAGAACAAAATCTCGAACATCTCTAGAAAGCAATTTATGTTACATCAAGGTGTGTGATCGGTACATCAAGGTGTGTGATCGGCACATCATGGTTTGTGAAGGGGAAAACGTTTGTGCGAGCCGCACAAGAGTTTGTTCGACTTGTGTACCCTGTTCGATGTCATTTTTAAACAATGCATACACAAATACGCATGTAAAGTGTGATTTTACAAACATAAAGTGTACAAACTCGAACAAACCGTGTATGAAATCACACGGATTGTGTATGTATTCTGCTAAACGATATTCTATGTATTTGAGATATCCAATTTTGATACAGTTTTAACACCATAGCACAAACACAAATCAACTCCGTTCACCATGACAGACGTGCGTGAACGATACAGTATAAGCAACGTGTATAAAGTTCCCCAAGCTAAATACGTTTGTAATTTCAAGTGTTATGATAATCTATTCCGCGTGTTAAAACGCGATTAAATTTGTCAAGTGAGAGTCTCAGAGGCAAAAATTTCTGTTGAGCATCTGATGACGTCACAGCTTATAATGCTAACAATGGACCCGGGGAGGGGGCTTTCTAAGCCTTTTTGGCCTTCGCAGAGGTAACGGGACAAGAGTCAGTATAGGGTATATACCTGCGGCTTCGGGAATAGTACATTGTAGAGGATATTCCCTCGGGGAAATAATTTACACTATTGCCCTCAATGGCAGTCACTATTTGTATAATATTGGACCTTGGGCATTCGGCCCTCGGCCCTTGGTCCAATATTTCACTATATTGCCCTTCGAAATTACGTTATTGTACTGATAATTTTAGAATGGAAAACTGCTCTTAGCAGCACATTCTTTCACTGAAATAAGATGATATCGCAAATATATATGGTGCTAAAGTAAAACCATTGAAATAGTAATATTTCACATTTTTAATTTTCAGATATAAGCAGTTATACTGGCAGTGACGGCCAAACAGGTTAGAAAAGTACAGATTGGGTAAAAAAATGTTACATTTTGCAAAATATTAAAGCTATAATATTTATAAAATCAAAATTTAGATTAACAACTGAATGGGGGAAACAATAATTTGCTACTGAAGATAGTTGCTGACCTTTTTTGAATCAAGCATCATTCCTGAGAGTTTGTGCTTTTAAAAGTTTGAGTTGAGAAAGTAAAATCACACGACCCTGATTAGTAGAATCCGGTCCGTTAGCAACCTCGTGTATTGTTGTATTAACTTCTCTTGTAGTCTAAATTATTGGAAGGATTCTAACCTTATTTCTCATCATAAATTAGAGAGGTTTCGCAACCTACAATTACACCCTATGCAGACGGAGCCCGTGGACTGTGGGAAATATTGGGTGCGGCATGAATGAGCAGAGGGTGCGGAGTCAACGGTCATTTTGAATTCAAATTTGGGATATTTCTCAAATTAAGCCGTTTTCGGACTTCAAATATACCCAGATATGTGTAATTGACACCAAATATCAATAAAATTGTGAAAATAGTTGTGGCGACGTACAGTAGTATGCATTAAACCTTTCCGAGACATATATATATTATGAAATAAACTCATTATTCCAGATATATACCAGAGACATTTAAAGTGTACGGAAAGTATTTAGGATGCTACAAGTGAGTTGTGAAATCTCTAGATCCATGACTTGTAGCTTAGAAGTATGTCAGCCCCAGAACTTACATAATCAGTAGACTATATAACCATTTGTCGCGACCCTCGTGTGGTAGCGTGGTTTGAGGGTCGTAAACAGTCTAAGAGTCAATAATTTGATTTGATGTTTCCATTCACTTAGTTTCGGAACAAGTTCAAGTAAAAGTTGAAAAGTGTATCCCCTATTTAATTGAACAACATCTGTGTTCACAGTACCTAACGAAATGGGATAAAGTGGGGATAAATATATAGGGGATAAAATTGGAATAAATTTTGCGATGAAAATTTACGGGATAATTTAGGGATAAATTCTGGGATAAAAATAATTGGGATGAAGTGGGACAATTTCGGGATAATAGTTACGGGATAACAATATCTAAGTATCGGCTCAGTAAGATATGTCAGTGTTCAAAGTAGGTTTTATATTTCATAAAAGCAAATGGCAACAAAGTCAAGATTCTTAATATGCCCAGTGATAAGTTGCATCAAATAAGTATGAAGTTAGGGCGTGAGTATGACCGGGTGGAAGTCAAGTTGCAGCCACTTGAGGGCTACAATTGGCTTCAAGCTGTCACTGTTCACAATTAAAGTGGGAAACTTTGTAATGCTTAAAGTAGGGCTATTTCAAATCAGGAGTCTGTCAAACTCATCAGGGGATAATATTACTAATTCACCATTTAAACACACAAATGACAAAACAGTGGAAGTAAATGGATTTTTATATAATGTATAAAAACGACTCTATTTCTATTACTATTCTATACAAACGTTACAAATTCAGTACAGTCAAATGATATATCAAATACACAAATGACCTCTCATACACAATGCACAAAAAAGCACAGTCAGTGGAAGTTTAGGAAATCAATTTGCAATAAAGCCCAAAATGTGTTTCTTTCCAAAAATGTAACTCAACAGTTCAGTTATGTATGATCTCTAGTGGGGTTGAAATCACCTTCCTATACTACTCACATGAAAAGTGTAATGTAGTTTTGCCCCCAATTAGCAAACAAAGACTAGAGTAAGGTATTTTTTAAAGTATTCTTGCATAAAATCTGTCTATAATAGAAAAACTATGTAGAATATAGTTAACATAGATATTGACCAGATATGAAAACTAAATGGGGAGGGGTAGATGGTAAACACTGACTAGAACCCCATACAAGCAAGTGTCAGGCTAAAAGACCCTAAATGGAATCTATACCAACTCAAACTATGTAGTCAGGGGGTGGTCATAGTGTCTAGACAGCATCTCAAATAGGCTTAAAGCCTTATGAACTGGCTTCAATACTGACTTTGACTCTGCAAGTACTGGGTGCAGAATCAGTGATCAGCTGTTTGATTATGGTCAGAAAGAACGCTCTGGATCCCTTTACCAGACCCAGGCATGAACATACACATACAAAGATACCAAAGTGTGTTTTCTAATGAGTCAATAAAAGTTACTTTGGCAAATAAAATTAATACAGTCTCAAGTTGAATGAAGGGGGGGGGGGGGTTATCGCATCCTACGACCCCTTTAGATTGTGGTCGTAGGCCCGTTTCATTCGTAAGCCTGTCTTTCTACAATGTCGGAGAATGAACTACGCATTGCGCTATTAAATAACCTACCTAGATACATTCCAGAGTATTTTTAAATTATTTTTATGTTGTTAGATCGCCAATTGTATGGGTTTATCGTCAGAACGAAGAGATTTTAGTTTTTACATCGGAAACATCTCAGCAATTTTCAAAATGTCGGAAGGGGAATTCCCCAGGGATTTCCCTTATGACTGGTGCATGCCGGGAACTGAATGGAGGAATTTGACGGTTGAACATACACGCAAATATTGCTATCAAAAACGAAAATATCTTCGTTCTGCCGATAAACCCATACAATTTGCGATTCAACTATATGCAAAGAATTCTAAAATACTCAGGAATGTATCGAGGTAGGTCATTTATGTGTGCAATGCATAGTTCATTCTCCGACATTGTAGAAACACAGGCTTACGAATGAAACGGGCCTACGACCACAATCTAAAGGGGTCGTAGGATGCGATAAGGGGGGGGGGGTGTCAAAAAGATTATTCAATGGAACCCCAGGAACATTGACTCTGGTTTAGAATAAGTTACATCGGTTCCTAAAGACCATAACTTTACGTACACCTTGTCAAATGTTCCATAACAATTCCCAGGACCTCTCGAATTTACAATTGTTCAAAACGTTCTCTCTCTTTTATAAATCAAAACAGATATATAATATGTAACGAGAAATCTTTCCAAGTTAAAGGATCTAGAATAGTGAATGATGTATCTATTATAAGCAATAATATATAGTAAGGCCAGACGTGTAAAACTGACTAGAAATAAATACAATCAGTGTTTTTGGTATAACATGTATATGGGAGGGGTTGTAGTAAATAGTCTAAATAGTAATGGGAAGCCCAAAGAAGCCAAATGGGCTCGAAATGGCTTGCCGTGACCTTTTTTTTTTGGGGGGGGGGGGTTGTGGTAATTATATGGGAAGCTCTAATAAGCGAGTTGAAGCCAAATGAGCTTGAAATGGCTTGCCGTGACCTTTGAGGCTTGTCGGCACACAGTGACCCCTGTTCTTATTGAAGTTTGTCCAACTAAACTGGCGGTGAAAAATCACAGAAACTGGTCCTGGGATTTATATTAGGGAGTGGGTGATAAAGCCCAATTACAGACAATTGTCTGAGAAGGAGCTTTACTGTCTAAGCGGGGGTTATTGCCAGTAAAGAATAAGACTGGATCAGTTCAAAGTTCAAGCTGATCCAAAAGACGCTAGAAACTTTATATAATCCAAATTAACAGTATTCCTTTAGCAATAAATCCCCTAAACAGTTTTAAATGAGTGTTTATACATGTTATACACGCTAACTGAGATAAAAATAAATAAAAGATACTACTTAATTAAAGTCAAAAACCTGTCAAAATAATAATAAAATCAATTCAATTACCTTCCCCAACTTGTTCACCTAAGTTGGTATATCTGTGTTAATATAAATATCCAGTTTTGAGTTGCGTTTTTGAATGTTATAATTCCAAAAAGTTATACACGTCCGGCCCGTTTCAATGCAATGGAGAGAGTCCCAGACAAGACAGAATCACTCAGCTAAAACAGCTGATCTCCAGCCTAGCCTTGTTTTGGATAAAAGTAAACAAGCCCGGTGAAGTTTGGCCATCCCTTGAATGAAAGTTTACAGCATTGTTGCTAACATGACACTGACCAGTTTTATAACAAAATTTATACGCTGTCATTACTCTACACAATTATGGCATAATAAATTTGTTAATAAGTTTATGGTTACATGATAAAAATAAGTGAGGACCCGAATTCAATGGATCTTGAATGAATGAAATTGACACTCTCAATTTTAGTACAGGGCAACTGCCTGTCTATATCAACAACCCTTTTGCAAAATCTTAAAGAGTTCTACATATATTAAATACAACACAAATTAGAATAACTACAAAAAGTAAGGAAGTGCAAAGGGTACCAAAGTGACAATCCTTCAAGGCAATCCCATTACCATGCTCAAAGTAATCTGAAGGATCGTCACACATTGAAGCTTGAATAAAGTTCATTTAGAAAGTTAATGCCTTTTGAAATTGAAAAATGTACAAGTAGTAATTTGCATGGATAAGAACTTTTTTTGAAGTTTTCAATTTTATTTCATTAATTCCGTAACTAATATATCAGACAAGTTGTGTCACCGGAAGTTGGGGATGATTGGTGAATGCTTGGATCTTGAAGGTGTGTCAAACACCTTAGGGGACACACAGCCAATTGATCTTTCCGCTGGAGACACACAACCAATTGATCCTTCCGCTGGAGTGGGAATAGATGGCATTTTAAAAGCAAGAATATAGTCCAGTTATTGTTATTACACCAGCATCACAAGTGGTTTGATTTTGTTAAGTCCATGAATGAAAAGGATATATGGATCAACTCTAAGACATGATTTGATATGATTAAGGTGGATTTTCTCTAAAATATTTTGACCTTTTTTACATCCCTCCATCTGTCAAAATCAGAATGACAATTTTTGACATTTTCTATAGATGGCGTGTTCTACAGGTGAGATCTTTTGATATTCGTGGGGAGTTTTGATTCAAAAGAAGAGACCTTTAATCATTTCCATTAATCAGTTTATTTTCTCAATTATGTACAATATCATACTTTACACAATTACATACACACTTCTCATAATATTTCACAAATCATTGTAAATACCATTATGTGGCACCTAATACAGTACTCCCTCTTGGGGGTCATAGCCACTACAACCTGTAAATATGTTACATTGATTTTAATAAAAAAAAGTTTTTCACTGACAGAGGACATACTTGGGTATGATAGCAAAACATGGCCACAAATCTTAATTTTCTCTAAAAGACAGATACTTTAATTACATGGGAAAACGCATTTTATAGCATTTGGTTATGTTATCCCTACTATCAGCCATTTTGGAGTACAATTTTCTTAGTTTCGTCATATTTCTCATAAATTCTCAACTATTTTCAATGTTTTATTGGAATTTTCACTTTAGCTCTCTCAATATGTTTGACAAAGTTTAATGTCACAATATGCTATTTCCAAAATGTACAGAAAAAGCTTTTTTTTCTAAAAAATCTACCCCGTGCTTTATTAATATGTGCATAAATTATAAAAATTGCAACAAATGATTCGAGGCAAAATATGCTTTTCAGAATCTAGTTTCCAGGTCAGACCCTTTCCAGATCTGACTCTTTAGGGTCGGATATTTTTTCAATGTTTTTGCAACATTTTCCACTTCAGAGTTTCCCATCTCAATAACTCGAGTACTACTTAAAGCTTACATGAGAAATTGGTGGCAAATAGAAGAAAAAAGTGTACTTAATTAAGATATTTACACTTATCATTCAAACATTACGCATAATTCTGCAAGAATGTCTCAAATATATGTAAATTGAATCTCGGGACAAGACAACGCTTTTTCGTTCGGTGTATAGGTAGACGGAAGTAGTTGTTGAGTTTTAAGAAAAATCAAACGTTCTAAAAATGTAAGGACAATCAAAAGATTGGTTAGATGCATAATAAAACAAATACTAGATGATCAGGAGCTGGAGCTGGACATTCTCCCATCTAAATATGCATGTAATTTACAAACTTGAGAATATATATGGATCAAATGTAATGAACCATCGGTGAGACCCCCCACGCGGGCATGGGTGGGGAATTTAACAAAAATTGGCCTGTCTAATTCCTCACACCAGGGCCAAATAAATGTGTGTCAATAATGGCGTCCCGCGCGCACCCCCCTGAATCCGCCACTGAACAGTGTCCATGGGCTCTACCACATCTACTATCTACTGATAGAGCCCATGATCTGTCACTTAACAAAATGTCGAATGTATATAGTTGAATATAAGTGACAGACTCTATGTGAAAATAAGTTAGTACATGTATGTATTCACCATGTTGCATTTGGTATGGATCAAAAAACTATTCAAGCTTCAGATCAGCAGAAACGAATCAGAATCGTTGGTTTATACTCTACCTAATCAGTTGTATTTTTTAAGTGTGTGAACCAAATCCATGTTGGAATGGAGGGACATGCGTTGATGGTGGGAATGGTAGTTTTTCATGTGATTGTACAGTCTGGTATTTCGGCTACTTTTGTGAATATGGTGAGTTTTGTATCAACACAACGCAGGCCCGTAGTCGGGGGGGGGGGGGGGGGGGGGGGGGGGGGAGGGAGCGGCCGACCAGAATTTTTTTTTGCAGTTTTGAACCATTCTGAGCACTTTTCGCATAATTTTTTGCCAAAAATGACAAAAAAGCTCCCCACATAGTAAAAGCTGCCTCCTAGCTTGGTAAAACCGCCCCCGCGGTAAATCCTGGCTACGGGCCTGCAACTATCCCAATTGAAAAATAAAACTAATTACCAACTTATTACCAACTAATTTACAACTAATTATCAACAATTCTGCTGGCAATTGGAATTAAAGTTAAGCGTTAATTAAATCAATGATAATTATGGCCTAATTATCAGTAGCAAGTTCAACGTAAATTAACTTACAATAATGCTGATTTATGATTTTTAGTTGATAATTAAGATATGAAATATTTGAGGGTGATAGTAAGTGGTAAATTAAAACGTTTTTGTTCTGAAGTAGATTATTGGTTGATAGTTAACATATAAGATGATAATAATGATAATTAGTCGTAAATTAGGCCCATGATTTAGAAATACAAACCCACTAAATTTAATTTCAAGATGGTGGAAAAAGAAAACATGTGAGAGATATTTCTCTCATAAAATTGAGAATTACAACGTGAATGGTGTGTATACTACCATGAAATATTGTCAACGTTATTATAAGGGTATGTAGAACATGAATGCAATGTACACTCCCCTCCATAAGTTTGGCAACCTTTTTTCCCCCATTGAACTACGTGTTAAAGCCTCTTTACCTCTGGATTTTTATTTACTTAACCTGTGATGAAAATACTTATACTATTGATGGAAACGTAATTTGACTTTAATGCCAATACCTCCACATTTTCTCAATTTTTTTCCTCAATTACAATAGGTCGAAAATTTATGATAAATTTGATGAATTTTTGAAAATCGACATTCCCATGTTAACCAATGGGAAATGGTAGGTTTGCCGCAAGTCATATGACAGAATATCCATCCATCCGAGTCCTTGCAAAAAATACGAGTTAGGCAGGCAATTGAATTTGCTAACTTTATTTTTTTAAAAATTGATATGTTTGTTCAGGTTCAACAAAGTTACAGGGCTTTAAAGTCAAAATTGTTTTTCAAAAAACCTCTCCCATTGAAATAACACAGGAGGCGAAAAATTATTTTCAAAAATGACTTTGAAGCGCTGTAACTTTAATATTCATCAAATAAACTAAACACTTAGTGTTCAAAAAAGTAAGACAATTCAATTTTCTATATGAAAATATTTTTTGCTGAATCTTTTACTGAAAAGATATCCTGATTTCTGATTTGCCCCGAACCCTCCATTTCCCATTGGATTACATGGGAATGACGATTTTCAAAAATTCATCAAATCTATCATCAATTTTCGACCTATTGTAATTGAGGAAAAAAATTGATAAAATTTGGAGGTATTGGAAATAAAGTCAAGTTACGTGTTTCCATCAATATTATAAGTTATTTCATCGCCGGTTAAGTAAATAAAAATTCAAACGTAAAGAGGCTTTAACACATAGTTCAATGGGGAAAAAAGGTTGCCAAACTTATGGAGGGGAGTGTATGTTAAATCTTATTCACACTTCTGTCTGAAATGTTTATGAATTTGAAAATCTTTTTGAATCAGATCATATAATATTAATCCTAGAATGCAATTTAGGTACTAACATGGGTTACCTATATTTCACAAGTAATCCAAATGTGCTCTTCTAAATAATGATTGTTAGATCAAAGACATTTCAAAACATATTTTTGATTATATCTGTTACGGCCTTATTATGTAACATTACAGTCTAATGTTTGTGTTCTGATTTTAGTTGTTGATGGCAATAATGATGTTTTCACATGCTTTTCATGAATCTTAAAAATTTGCAAAATAGAATAGCTTTGAAAAAGAGGGGGAGAAACCCCAGGGTTCAAAGATGATATAATGTAAATCTGTATTGAGATGACATCGTCGCTGATTGGTTTAGCGAGTCGATCGTTGATTGGTTTAAAACTAGGTCAATTTGAAAACTTTGAAAACCAAGATGGAGGGTACGTTTTCGACAAAAGGAGGTGCGCGAAGGAGGAAATCGTATATCATCAATTGAATCATGGGGTTTTCCCTCCTCTTGCTGTGAAATTTCAATAGTTCAAGTTCAATGTTGTCTGATCTGAAAGATCCTAATATTAAGATGAATATTCCGTGACAAAATAGTTCAAGATGCAGCAAAAATCTCCGGGTGAAGGGAAGCAAAAAAGAAGCGAGTCATTTTTGAGAAGTCACAAATCTGACTTAAACCTAACTTTCAACTAATTATCAATAGTAAGTTAGGTGATAATTAGAGATTAACTTACATCAAACTTACGACTAACTTTCAACTAATTTACGTAAATCAGCTCATTTGCATATTGATGGTAGTTAATCGTTAATTAAGTTGCAAATTAAGCGTTAATTAAGTTGATAGTTAGCTCATTTGCATGTGAATTTTTACACCTAACTTTCAACTTATTATCAATAGTAAGTTAACTTAATAATTGATAATTGGAGATGATTTTCCATAGGCTTTTTTCAATTGGATGATCAGGAACGCCATATGTGCAAAGAATTGTTCTGAATTTTCGAATTTGGTGTTGGATTACGGTACTCATACCTTAATATGAGGCCTAAAATTGTCTGCTAGTTGGCTAGAGACCAATATTCTAGCAGAATTTGAGAACAGAATCGATTTTTTTCGTTCTGCGTAGGGCAAACAATGATTTAAAATCACTTTCAACCCTTTTGTGTGTATAAGAATGGTCATAAAAGGCCCTTGGTGGGTCATACATGAAAGAAAGCCCATTGAAATTCCGTCAAAATTGCAGGTTATTTCTTCATTTTTTGCTAAAATTACATGATTTTGAGGGCCCACATCTCACTGAAATTGCTACAATGTAGCGATTTTTCATTTTTACAGGCTAGATACACGTGTCAGGTCAACAGAAACAGTAAGCATATGTGATTTTTAAATTGCTACATTGTAGCAATATTTATTTCAAAATACAGCTGTGGGGGAAACTGCTATTTACTTAGATTTGGGCGAAAATGGCCAAATTTCAGTCAAAATCCTCGGGACATAGGGTCTTTGTCGTAGATTTAGTCAATGATGCAACTCTTAGTAGAAGGTGTGCCATATAGGGAATGAAAGCTGTTTGTCAGACGTATCATTTTCTTCAATAAACTCAGAGATAGTCAGGTTAGATTTGTGACGTCACAGTTGCAAAGTTAGACTAGCATATTTAGACGTATGTGGGGTAGGGCAAATTAACCCTTTCTAGCCTAAATGGATACATTTTCACATATTCAGCCAGTTCCGACGTTTTTATGCATTTTTGAACTAAAAATGATATTTTCTGCCAAAAAAAGTTGCAGAGACAAAAATTAGTGTGATGTCATAAAACGTTAAGGTATGAGGTTCCATATCCATCCGCCAAAAGGTATGACCCCTATAGTCCATTTAAAAACTTGTGGTTTTGTTCTAAATAACGCCATAGTTGGCTTCTAGGGTACCTAGTATGCCACTATTTTGTATCAAAATAAAGAGGAGGAGTTCAACTTTCATTTGAATTACGAAAATAGCGATGTAGGTAAAAAATAGTTCCGACGTGAGCATGTTTACTACGCGTTTGCTCGTCATCTAAGAATTGAGGAAATGGTAGCAAACGCGAGTTACAATAAATGGACGCTGATATCTCAAAAAGTAACCCGACTCCCTATAATTTGATGTAGATCAATCGAACCCCTATATGAACAGGTACATTTTGATATGTAACACTATGGGGGTAAGCGTTTTATAGTTGATCAGGAACGCCATATGTGCAAAGTATTGTTCTGAATTTTCGAATTTGGTGTTGGATTACGGTACTCATACCTTAAATGATATTTATAAAGTGCTACACAATTAACATCCATAAAGTCCATTTCAATGTTTTATTTTCATCGATAAAACCTAGCTAAAAACTATTAGGAATTAAGACAACATGTGCTGTAATATACTTAAATATATTCAAATCATAATTAAAAGAATGACATAATATTAATTATCTGAAACATGCATCCCATTCGTTTATATTATAAAATTTCCCATAAATTACGTTGTAGCGCTGTGGTATTTGATTCCTAGGTTCTTATGTTTGGTTTTATTGACGAAAATAAGACATCGAAATGGACTGTATTAGAGTCATGTTGTTGTATCATTGCAGTTGTTGATTGGTATCGTCCGTAGGACGTAGACGACTAAAACGCCAAAAACCAGGATCTAACCAATAAGGGATGTAGATGTTTGTACAACCTTTTTCACAAATTCATTTGATAAGTCTATATTTAATTTACCATGAAATTGTGAATAAAAATATCCTGACAACCAAACTAGCTTTGAGCACCTTATTATTACCTGGATTTTATAGTTGTATTTACATTCCAAACATAGGAGCACTTTTTCTTGTTTTATCCAATTCAATTCAATTCAATTTTTTTTCAATTCAATTATTTATTTCATAATTCTTATATAATATACACTATAAAAACAAGCCGCTAGACACCCTAGTGGGTATATGTTGCGGTTTAACAGAAATCATTAAAATGACAACTAGACTACATATAAAAGAAAACACTTATATTATGTTACATGTAGGTATATAAAAATGGTATTAACAATTAATCTAAGGATGTACAATGTAAAAATGTTACAAAAATCGGGTACCAGTATAAAATCAACAGTATAGTATGATATTGGTATTATACATTATCGATAGATGAGTAGTTTTTTATATGAAGATTTGAAAATATTTAGAGTGGAGCATTTTTTAATATCATGTGGTAGAGCATTCCAAAGATTAGGACCCAGATGGCGAAGGGAAAGTTTAGAGCATTTAGGGATATGAAAATAATGCAATTGTCTTGTGTAATGATGATGAATATTAATGTTGATATCAAACAAGTCTTGAAATAGATTTTTTGGAAGACTGGGGTGCTTATTAAAGATTTTGTACATGAACTGACCAGTACAATATCTGTTGACATCAAAAATATTTAATAGTCTAAGATCTTTAAATAGGGGAGCGGAGTGAGAAAGTCTATCCTTATTTAAAGCTAGCCTTAAGAATTGTTTCTGCAGTTTATGTAGACGATCATAAAATGATTTAAATGTGTTACCCCAGATTATGTTGCAATAATTTAATTGAGAGTGTATCAATGAGTAGTAAATTGTTTTGAAACTGTCTATTTGAAGTAGATGTTTAATGTGATAAAGAGAACCAATGACGCGAGAAATCTTTGTTTCAACAGATTTTATGTGCTCTTTAAATTTCAAGTTTTTATCAATAATAATTCCAAGAAAGTCAATTTTTTCCCGGAAATTTATGTTCTCATTGCGTATTTTAAGATTCAGATTTGTTTGATTTTTTTGGGGTCCAAATAGAATAGCATTGGTTTTGCCAATATTAAGTGAAAGTTTGTTTGCTTTTATCCAGTCATCTATTGAATTCAAGTTTGCATTAGTTCTAGTCATGAGTTCATTTAAATCATAATCACTATCAAGAAGATTGGTGTCATCAGCAAACATAATAAATTTTAGATTAGGGGCAACAAAAGGCAGATCATTTATGTAAAGAATAAATAATAGTGGTCCAAGTACCGAGCCCTGCGGAACACCACAATTTAGAGATGATTGTTTAGATTCATAATTGTTAATGGTGACATATTGTTTGCGGTCTTTTAAATAACTTTCAAACCAGGACTTAGCTATTCCTCTGATGCCATAATATTCAAGTTTTTGTATCAAAATGTCATGATTAATTGTGTCAAAGGCCTTGGAAAAATCTAATGTTACGCCAATGCTTGTTTTCACCAAATCAGTTGATTTTCGAATTTGTTCAATGAAATATAAAATGGCCATGTAGGTAGAGTTGAATTTCTGAAATCCAAATTGATAAGTAAAAATAATTTCAAAACGTTCTAAAAAACCAGTGAGTTTGGCGTGCATGAGCTTTTCTAACAATTTAGAAAATACAGATAAAACTGAAATTGGTCTATAGTTCGAAGGATTTGTAGTGACACCTTTTTTTATCCGGAGATGTACATCCGGAGATGTACATCCTAACCCAGGACCAGATAGTGTACATTTGTCATGTCTTTTTTCTAATATTAATAGTATCACTGCGAATAGTGGGGCAAGATTTGAATCACTGAAAATTAGAGTTAAAGAAGTTAATCCCTCAATTATCAGTCTCTGTGAGACTGGTGCTCTATCCAAAGATGACATTGCCAATGGTAATTTTGACATAAAACATTATAGGACTTTATACTCTGAGTTAGGAAGAGGCCTTCTTATTTATATACATGACCAGATTGCTTTTAAGTCAATTGACTCAGATTTTTACATTGAAGGCTTAGATTGTCTTTTTGCTGAATTAATAATAAATCAAAAGAAAATTTTATTTGGAGCCTGTTACAGGTCTCCAAGTATGAATGCTAACGAAACCCGTGAATACTTTTCTCTTTTTAAGCAACAGCTTCATAAGATTAATAATAATGTTCCAACTTTTGACCATGTTATGATCATGGGTGACCTAAATGCTAAAAATTCTATTTGGTATGATAACAATGATGGCAACTTAGCTGGTGATAGACTTTTAGAATCTATTGATGAGTCTAATTATGTACAATTAATAAATAAACCCACAAGAATTACAAGGCATTCAAAGTCATGCATCGACCATATTATTACAGAATCACCTGATATTTTTAATTTCTGGACAATAACTGACCCAATTGGAAGGACTGATCACAGTACTATTATAACTCAAATTAATCTTAAAGTTCAAAAGAAAAAATCAGTGAGAAAAACATTATGGAAATATAAAGAAACCAATCTTGTAAGCTTAAATAACTCAATACGTAATGAAAACTGGAAACAGGATCTTAAGAGGTTCTGGACAAATCATTTGATTCTGGACTTGTCATATTTTTTTTTCAACGAAATCACATCCAAGGGTTGAATTTTTATTAGCTATTTAGAGAGTGAGTCCTGCCTAGTATTAATTTCAATAAAAAAGTTAAAATAGAACCCTATTTGAGAGTCAATCTAATACTTACATAACATTGATAAATTAAGGCAAATCCTGAAATATTTTTAAAGTACATTTTTATGAAATATTATCCAGCAAGTATTTAGATGAAACGGTCTTATTTAAATAAAAATCATAACATGATGATATTTTTCATGAAACATTTTTCATTTTTAATTTAGGTGAAAACCCTTACATGATGATGTGTTTTCATAACTTCTTTCATAAAATTCCATCAAGGGGTGAAGATAAAATGATCGAATTTAAGTGATTTAAGGATCACGAGAATATGTTTTCTTTGATATTTTTTATGAAATCCCATCCAATGGTCAAGGTAAAATTTTGATTTTGATTTGGTATTAGGTCACGTGTTCCAAAGATCCATATAAGGCCCATAGAACCATACAGGAACGTCATTTTGAATGTCACGTGATAGATCCATATAAGGCTTTTAGAACCATATCGGGAAAGATGAGGGGAAGCCCCTGACACCTGTTTCACGATTTTATCCGAACGTTGTTCGGATCATTTCGGTTTTTATGCACTTCATTATTGTACCGAAGTTTGCCGATTCGATTCGTCGTATTTCGGAATCCTGGTGACAATTTTATACTCCAATTGGAGTATTTTTGATCTACTTCTTATGACGAAAATTCCCGAACCTTGTTCGGATTAATCCGGATTTTCTGACCTACTTTATCTTCCGAGATTTCACGAGTTAACATTTGTCTCATTTCGGAATCCTGGTGACAATTTTATACTCCATTGGAGTATTTTTGATCTACTTCTTATGACGAAAATTCCCGAACCTAGTTCGGATTAAACCGGATTTTCTGACCTACTTTTTCTACCGAGATTTAACGAGTTACATTCGTCTCACTTCGGAATCCTGGTGACAATTTTATACTCCATTGGAGTATTTTTGATCTACTTTTTCTGGATTTTGCCCTACTTATTATTGTGACAACAAGCAAATCAAAAAGTTCGACATGAACGGGTCTCAATCAACTAACCCAGAGCGTGGAAGCCAGGCACGCTAACCATGAGGCCATCGTGCTACCGATATGAAAGAACAAAAGTATTATATATTTATACCGAGCGTCAATTCAAAATGATCCTCACTTTTGACTCCACTTAAAGGGACCCAACACCATGGTCACATGATCAGTCGTGTGGAGGTAAGCTCCCAGTTGAAATAAAAGCACTGTCCTCCTTTGGTTTATGTGAAAAGTAGGTAATACCCTCATGTATTGGTCAGTTTGTGTGTCACACGACTAATTCACACCATATGCTTCATTCAACATATTTTATGCTATTAAGCTGCATATATAAACAGTACTTTGCAACTTAGGTCATGTAACAGTATACTTACCCCTTGCAAATTGTAATTTATTGAACTCACAGTAAACCCATCAATTTTTAAGAAAACAAAGAATATTGTTCTCATGGATCTATTATTTATGTTAGACTAACTATGAAAATATAAATATGAAATAATATGTTAGCTTGAAGTCATATATAAGATGAAAATATATGTTCATGCATTTGCATTTTTCCAAAGGGAATATTCCCATGTAAGTAAATACAGGTGCAATATATAATTTATATGTATATCTATGTCATCTGTCTATACATGCGCGTATAGCCTAGCTAGTGATACATGTGAACAAGATGGAAAGAAATGAGCGTGGCAGATTTGCTAAAAAGCCGAATACACCACAAAAGCAAGACCAATTTGAAAGTAAGTTCATTATTCTCAAGGGTCCACTTCAAGTGATAGCTACATTGCTACAGGGTGGCCTATCATTGTGAGACAAATGTATTACCCAACGATTTTGATTTTCGAAGCTAAAATATGATATCTTCATAATGTATCTTGAGCAGATGGAAATACATTCTCATGAGATATTGTATATATAGTCAAAAGTCATAACTATTCATTGAGTGTAATGAAACAAATCCTTCGCTAACTGCTTTTGTTTGAGATAATTATCATTAAACTGTATCCATTATCACGCCCGGTGATCGTGAATATGGGGCGGAGGGGGGGGGGGAGCAGGCAATTTCTCCTAGGAAATTCAACAAATCTGGAAGATTTATTTTTTCAAGAAAAAGTTTACTATTGAATTGCTAAATGGATAGGCGCACGGTATGGTAGAATATGTTAGGTTTTCTGGGATTTATTCTTAAACGATACGCATCTAAGGTATGAGATCTA